AAAAAATGATATAAAAATCCTCAAAAAAACGAAATGATTTTGTAATAAAGACACGCCTCAATTGAGTGCGGTATAAACAGCACACAGGCTATTGACCCAACAAAAATAGTGCGTTGCAACTGCAAATTTTAGCAAAAATTTTTTATATTGAATTTATTTTTATTTATTTTTTGTATAAATATTAAATATTAAAATAACAAACAAATATTTTTTTGTTTGCATTTTTTTTATAACGTTTCTGTTTGTATGATGTGGAGGTCGTTTTAGTCTTATAGGCTTTGACATCTGAACAGAGAGATGGAGGTATGGACGGACTAAGAATTATTATGTGGATAATAAAATGATGGCACATGCACACACAAAAAACAACAAATATGTTTCCCCTCTGTTTTACAGATACTTTTTGAAAAAAATTAAATTTATGTTTATAAAGACTTCATAATTCTCAGTGTGTGGTGTGGCCAATGACTGTTTCGTTGACGTAGGGAACGAGTATATAATTAAGGCAGTTGTAATATACAATATGCATAAATAAATGATGATATACACCACCTTAGCAAAAAAAAAACTATCTAACGTTTGATAACATTTACATAGTTCCGCTGTAAATCGAATCACATCCCCTTCATTCATAGTGTAGTTCGTAAATTTCATTCGTTATAGGAGCTTTATAAAAATTGCTTGAAAATTTCTAAATTATGTTTTAGTTAGGGCAAAACCTATTTAAAATGTAGCTTATTAAATGGTCGATCATGCCATATAATTTGTTTTTATATATATTTCTATTGTATTTATTGTGGTGTCACGATTGGCGTTGATGAATTTCTTAATGATTCATCTTAGAGTTTCATCTGTTCTTACTAAATATACAAGGATCGTGTGATAAATTTAGCACTATTTAAATTAAATTTAAGCCAAATCTTAAATTATATTAATTTCGAAAGATATCTTAACATTTTTTGGGGCTATGATCAAATATAGTCTTATATAACCTAACCTGTAATTGTGCAAAATTTGATAACAATTGCTATATTCCGGAGAAACATTTACATATGAGGGCTAGGTTGATCATGGACAGATATTGTGTATTTTCAATACCATACAAACCTTATCCATAAATAATGTTTACGAAAATCTTCAGTCCTATCGTCCATCATTTATTCTTCAGACAGAAGGACATGGCTAGATCGTCTTAAAATCTTATAAGGTCCTAGATATGAACGTGAAATAGAGAAAAACATTAGTTTTGTTGTATTAATTTTATTCATATTTTCATTTTAATTCTATAAAGGCCACGATTTGTTTAATAGAACTTCCCCATTCTTTATGATAAAACTTATGAAGACAATCCCCGTATACTCATACATTTGGATAAGGAACACATTTGTATCTTACATGTATTTTCCACTTGGTTTTTTATGCCATATGCAAATTGAATGTGGCATTTAAGATTTTTATATATGTATAATGTTGCTTGTTGATGCTTTGTCATCGGCATTGTCATTGTCTGACTGCCAGCCTGCCTGCCACTTCTTTATAAGTTACTAAAAGAAAACACAATTCTTAATGCAAGAGAAAGCTAAATATGCTGAAAATTTCAGAAACAAATCTTATTGTATTCACATGAATGGGCTGCACAATAAGTAAAGCCTCAACAATCATGCCACAAATTAAACTAAATCATGCTTAGTCGAGATTCAATAAGAAAGACGTCAGTCAGTCAGTTAGTCCGTAAGCGGATGTTTCGTTAAAACTAAATTAAAATAAGAAATTATACTTTAATAACAAGAAACGAAAAAACATTTGTTTTAATAAAACAAAACTTTGTACATACTTATACAAACTATTTCATGTTTAAATATTTATTTCTGGGTTAAAAATATTTATGTACTTACTGCATACGAAAATAACAACTGCACATTTACATGGAGCTTTTTCCTTTTTCTTTCTTTTTTTTGTTGATTTTTATTTTGTTTGTTGATATAGGAAGTCAGTCGTCTACCATGATAAATAATAATAATAAAAATATTTCTTACAATTTAGTATATTAGGTGGGCTCTTAAAACATAAAAGCTGGAATGGAAATTATAAAAGTTATTGCCCTAGGTTTAGTCACAATAATAGCTCTGTTTAGTTATTGAACAATTGCGGTATTTAAAAAAATCTACTGTTTTATAATTTGTTAATTGATTTATTTGTTTTTTTTTTCTATAAATAAATTCCTCCCTAATGTACATATGCATTTTATTCTTTATTTATGTTGATAATTATAAACTCTTAATAAAACGCAATTAGTAGTTTTAAAATATATTTAACTTTTAATATTTTAATTATGAATTAAATTTGTTTTTATAACAGTTAAGCTAATTGAACTAAAATATAAATTTCTTTAAAAATTTAACTGTATTCAGATCTTTTTGTCAACAACTCTACATATTTTTTTAGCAAGTAATTTTAAAATTGTTGCAAATTAACATAAAATAGATCTGACGGATTGCTATATTCTTTATAAAATAAGTTTCTTTATTGAAAATAAATGTTCTTCAATAACGAATCAAAATTTCGATCAGTTTCCCGGAACAGAGAACAACACTGAGATGAGAAATACAGCCCAAAAGTACCGCAATAACTCCACAATATTCATATGTCAAGTGACCCAAGTCAAAAAATCAAATTTTGATGAAATTTGCAAAAATGAAGAAATAGCCATCAGAACTCCTTTGGATAATTTTTGCTAGGACCAATACACAGAGGAAAAAGAAATATACACGCCTGGTACCAAATTGAAACCAAACTGTTTATAATTTTTCAATACCATCCGTTGTCAAAGAATATACATACGTACGACAACACTATGTAATGTTGATAACATTGCAACAACTCGTTGTCAAAATATAAATTTTATACACATCCGTTGTCTAAATGTTAACAAACGTGGCAATATCACTGACAAACAATCCGTTGCTGTTATTGAAAAATTATAAATTCTTTAGTGTCAATTTGATACCAGGCGTGTATATTTCCTTTTCCCTCTGTGTAGGTGAAAAGTTTAACTCATTTGAATAAAACCCTGTATGACCAAAATGTCAAGCTTTGACCCCCTCTAACTTCGGAAGTTCTTGACCGATAGAACTGAAAAGTTTGTGTACATAACGTTGGTTAAAATCGGAAGACATTAATTTTAAAAGATAAATTAGCTCATAATTCATGGTCTTGTTCATATACTATTAAAAATACTAGTTAATGAAACAGTCAATAAACTAGTCAGCAGACTAGTCTATGTACTTTTCAAAAGACTAGTCCATAGACCAGTCAACAAAATATCCCAGGGACTAATCAATAGAAAAAAAACCGAAAGGTACTTTTAGTCTTTCCATAGAGTACTCCATATACTATTTTAGAAATAGTCATTAGATCTAATCTATTCTAAAATAAAACCCGAATCTATCATGGACTTTTCTGTCTTGTTTACTAATCCCCCAGATCTGTTACAAATAACCGATGGATTTGTCATTTAATGTCTGCAAGATTGCCCCGTAGATAAAAAGTTAATTCTTTTGTATACTCATACAAAATGATTCTTCAACTTTAATTTATTAAAGCAAAGTGCAATTTAACAGTATAAATACGTATTAAAACAAGTGTTTCCAATTTTCTATTATTCTAAACTTTCAACCTTAGACTTTATTTGAACCCTTTATTAGCAAAACCTTTGTACAAAGTCTCACACTTGTTCATTTCCGTTAACGGATTTTATTTATTAAGTTTATTACAATTTTACAAAATGACATAAAAGGGTACATACTTGTATGTATGTAAATACATATGTATTCCCATTTTAATCTGCCTTGTCATTTATACAATATTTAATAATTTGTTGTTATTATTAGAATTTCCGACAATTACCATAATGGTTATTTGATTTGTGAACCCAACAAACAAACAATTCATTCTAAACAACTAACACGATCTAACAGAAACACACGTTTGAAAAAAAAAATCACTCAATGTAGATCACTTTTGACACCTTTATTAGAAAAAAAGCACAACAACAATAACAACAAATGGAAATTAATAATCAAAACAAAGACTAGAGAAGAGAATTAAAACACCGGTTTGTTTAACTAAATTATAAACGTCACAGCGAATTTTAAATGGTTGTCATTGTGTTGTATTGCTGTTGGTTCGTTGGTTGCTTGTTTTTTGTTGTTAGTAGATGTTATTAGTTTAACCTAAACCTAGTTTAGTGATAGTAGAAACTGTCTCGAGCTGTATATTAAACCTGCTCCTTTCCTTTACCCCCCCCCCCCCCTTTTTCCACTTAAAAGGCCTTAAATTTTAAGGGGAAAAAACAAAATTATACATAATGACAGCATTTGTCTGTTTTTATTTTTATTTGCCATTTTTGTCGTTTTTGTTTTCATAAATATTTTTTTGCTATTTTTGTTGTTTTGCATTTAAGTTAAATAAATTTAACACAAAAAAGTATTGTATGTATTTTCACATTGTCATTTTAACAAAACGAGTACAACTAAATTTACTCTATTCTACTAGATACTAGATATGTATATAATGACTATTATTATTTATAATTTTCTGTTAGAAATTGTTTTATATACAGAAATAGTTGTTTAGAGTCTGTTAAAAGATTGGGTTGTTGTGAAACTGAAATTGAATTCAAATTTAAAACGTCTAGAATAAATTCTAATTATCTCTGATGACTTTAACTTGACGTCTCTACGAGTGTTTATAAAGAGAAAGTAAAGAAAATAATTAATGTAATTTATTTGCTAATTAAATATAGAATTTATATTAAAAAAAAATTTGCAAAGCCCGTGTTACTATTAACAGTTAATTGGATTTCTTCTTATGTGTTTATTTGAAATGGGGCATTTGAAATTGTAAACCTTTTAATATTTTTGTTTCCAACCTTTATTTGAATTATTCCATTTTCTATTATAAACTTATTAATTTTATTTATATATTTTGTTTCATTTTAGCAAAATGTAATTTCGATCAAGACGATAAACCTCATCGCTTGAATTTGGATGTTGGTGATTCAGTGGTCATATTAAAAGAAACCACACATTGGTTTTATGGTTATAAACAAAGGTAAGCAGCTCGGACTTTTGTTGTTAATTTCTTTAATTTTATTATTTATTGCGGTTTGTGATGGAAGAAAAAATGAAGTAATAAAAAACTTATGTAAGATTTTACAAAAGTGTGTCATTAAGTAATTAAAAGTGTCATTTGAATATTTAATCTAGTTCGTTATTTTAGTTTTTTTAAGAGTTTTAAAATATCTTCAATTTGATAGTAAACGGTTTTAAAATCTCATTTTCTACAACAAAATTAATCCTTTATGTTTACAAAACCTTAGTTAAATAAATAATTCATGTATTTATGGTGTTATTCCCAGAAAGAAAATCCTTTTTATTTAAGATATCTTTATAACTCTCTCTCTACTTTTTTTTATAACGAATGATTGAGTGCATTCCACATTCCAAATGTAAGATTCATCAGAAAACACACATATGTTAAAATTTATGAATTAATACAGTTTATTTTATTGGCTTAAATTTCATGGAGTTACACTTTTCTTTCTTATTTTTCGGAACACACATGTGTTTGCTGCATTTAAATAAATCTGTTGCACACAGTTTTTGTTGTAAGTTTTACCAAAAATATAAGTTATTTATATGACACACATGCATCTTTTATAATTTTTTTTTTTTTTTGCCTGATCATTCTTTTATACTTTTGTAAATATTTAATGTTGCCGTTTTTTTGTTATTTTAAATAATCTTGCATCCGAAATATTTTGATTTATTTATACTCATGTATGCACATACATATGTATGTTGCAACCAAAAATTTGTGAATATTTTTGTTGTGTCTGTCAATTCTTAATACGTAAAGAAAGTTTCCCTTTAATTATAAACATATTTTAGTTGTTGATAACTTTACAATGTTATACTTTTTCCGAGATCTTAATACATACGTAGATTATTAATTACGGCTTAAAAAGGCTATATACCAACGAGCGTCCCAAGCCTCTAATATTACAATTAAAAAGATTTCGAAAAACCAAACAGAATAACTTTGTCTTTCGGTTTAAAGCTAATAGAAATATCGGTCCTAGTATTAGTTCTTTGAGCTAACGTACGAGTACATCTAGGGTTCCATAGGAATAATTCAGCGGGTTCAAGTTTTGACCGTCTGTGAAATACAGCCTTATGTTCACAAAGCAGTTCCGTTGGAGCCTCCATTGAGGCGTTAAAAAATTACTAACATTTTCTTCTTTTAGATTCTATAAATTCTTTAAGTGTCTCCAAACAAAAGTACAGTTGAAATCCTTAGTATAGACTGGTTCCACATAGACCCCAAATGTTTTTAAAAATAAAGGGAATCTGTGAGCCTTCTTTGAACAACTAAAACGAGAGCAAAATTGTCCATTCGCCTTTTATATAAGAAGAAATCTTCTAATATATCTACTTTTTTTGTTATAAAAACTCTTTAAAAATTTGGTAAATATTGAATAATTTATTACAAAATAACCCTACCAGACATTTAACGCTTCTAATGAAAAAAAAGTACTTTTTCCAATGAGGTTAAGTACTATTTCAACATATCTACTTTTAATGTCTGATCTGATTGAAAATGTCTTTATATATTTTTACAGTTTTATCATATTTTTATGGCGTAAAATATTTTTTTATCAGTATTTTAGTGACCATTTTGTTTTGTTGACTTTCTTAAAGAGAGTGTATAGTAAATGAGTAATAAATAGTAAATGGATCGAGGGATGAGTATCTCTGATATACAAATGTGTTTGCATTTGTTTGTTTGAGAATAAATCACACAATATGCATACAATCATTAATGTTGACCCTTGATATTTTTGGTCTGGCTGTCTCTGTCTGTCTGTCGTTTTGGTGTGTCTTGTCCATCCGTTCGTCTGTCTGCCTATCTTTCGTTCTCTGTGGTTTTAGTTGTTTAGGGTGTAAGATTTAACAAACAGAAATTTAAGTTTTATACTTTTATCAGTTCTTGGTTTTTTTTTTTTTTTTTTTTGAAAAACACAGAAGCTTCTCTTTTATGTTGCACTATTTGGCCTTTGTAAATAAATAAAAATATAAAATCATAATATGTAGCAAGCATTTTATGGAATTTTTATATTTATTATTTATTTCCAACAATCTAAGTATTTATTTGTTTAAAAACTCTCACATACTTAAAATAATAAAAAAATAAATAAACTGACCTTTTCCATATTTTTGCTGACCCATAAATCATTTTATTTTATTTTTTTACTTTCTGTTCTTACAGTTTTAACCTTCCGCTGTTGATGAATTTCTTTTTATTTCAACATTTATAAAAAAAAAAACAGACTCTTAAAAAATATTTTATTTTTTTAGTTTATTTATTATTTTCAAACTGATAAGAATACATAGTTGTTTCTTTTCTTTCATTTTTGGTTTAATTTCTTGATTTTATTTCTCTCACGACTTGTAATATTTTATTTTTTATTATTTTATATTCATTTTGTTTTTGTTCGAGTTTCAGTACAATTTTTCAGATTTTGAGGCCGATTACTTTTACAACTGAAGCATTAAATTCTTTGCATATAGTTATGTGTATTTAATGGATTTTTCTACATTTTAATATAATATTTTTAGTTTTTTTTTAGTTTTGTATAATTTTTAATTATACTTTTAAAACACTAAAGTCTATATTAACTTTAATTTATTGATTTAAGTAAATATTTATTTTTCTTTAAATGGTTTTTATTAATTTTTATTTTTCTTTGATAAGATTTAAAAAAAAAAAGATTACTCTCATGAGAATAATTCAGACTTTATGTTAAGTGAGGTTAAGGTTAATTTTGAATGCTTTTTATTTACAGCAATAATATTTTTCAAAAAAGTAATAAAAAATATAAAAAGGGTTTAATAAACTTGTAGATTAAATTAAAGCCAAGGTAGGCTTAAATTTCTCATGATTGATTTTTGTTTAAATAGTTAAACATTTTAGAAAATTTTAATCGAATTTCTTGAAATTCTATTGCATGTAAATAAATTGTCAAAATTATATTTCCTTGAAATTTTGATAGATGACAACTAGTGACCCTCTAAACAATTTAAAGAGCTTGTCAAACGTCTCTGTTATTTTTGTATTCATTCATTCATTTTTAACTGGAAATCATTGACAATTAGTTTTCAATTAACAAAAAAATACTTTACACATAAAAATGGGGTTTAATTGAAGGTCAATTAACATTGTGTTTAGTTGACATTAGTTTTTTTTTTAATTTATTTATTTGTCATTTTTAAGTGATCTTTTCTACTCACTACCAAGCATTTTCGTTTTAAATATTAACTTCCTTACATTCTCTCACAAAAACTGTGTCGCATTGTCGCCCATCCAAATATGTATGTTGCAATATTATATAAAAAAAATTTACAAATTCTCATGCATTAAAGTATCTACAAATACAAAATACTCTTTAGCAAGTGTTAAATGATCATATTTCATTGTTGTTTATTTAAGTTTAATTGTTATTACACATCATTTCATCATTAATGTACAATAATGTTCTTTTTTGAATTTTATTTTTTATTGCAGAAATAAAGAACAACGTGGCATATTTCCCAAAACATATATACATTTGTGCGATTATAAAATCGTCAATGGTGAATATTGTATACAACGCACTGAAATTGTTGAGGAAATAACAAAAGTTCTACTAGAATGGGGCGGTATATTGAAACAATACTTTCTGGTAAGTTATAAAAAGTTTAAATGTAAATTCAAACAGTCTGTTCATTCATAAAATATATACAATCCATCAACCACATCTGGCTGGCCCGGCACAACTTGGTTTGGAATGAAAAACCGCAATACTGTTTGTATGATTGTTTTGAATTTAGAATAGAATGATGGTTTTCAATTCTTATTCAACAATCAAATATGTAAACCACACCATTTCAAAGAGTTGACTTATTGATGGTGCAAATAATAGATTTATATATTGTAATGTAACAGATAAAATGTTACCTTAAGTTATCCTGAAGAGTACCATAAATCGGCTGATTGGCTATTACTTCTTTTCATAGACTTGTCTATAGTTTAGTCAATAGAATAGTCCATAGATTAGTCCGTAGACTAGCTAATTAACTACTTAATATACAGTCCATAGACTACATATGAATATACTAGTTCATAGACTAAGTACTAGTTAATAAACTAGTATGCGGATTAGGTTGTAGCCTATACCGCAGACAAGTACTTTTAACCCCAAAATAGTATTGCTTTTTTGCTATTCCAAAAATATATCTCAAAAGCTGTATATACTTTTTTAATTATACGGCCTGGAAATGGTGTAAAATTAAATTTTATTTCATTCATTAACAATTGTCAATTCTTTTATATGTTTATAAACTTTTACTTATTTCTATCATTATTTTCCAATTAAAATAGGACAATCATCCCGACTTTCATACAATACGCGCCAAAATGAACAGTTTAAATAATAATAGAGCTTTATTAATATCGGGCAATTTGCCGGTAGATGAAATGCGTACAGTCAAATTGATGGCCACCTCACAAATAGATACCGGCAACAACCTGTTGGGTTTGGATATGGTGGTGCGCGATGAAAGTGGTGATATCTTAGATACGAATACGATCTGCACCACAGAATTGTATGAACATCATATGAATGCGGTTAACCGCATTATAAAAGCTAGTGTAAGTACATATTTTCGTATTTGAATACATAAACGTGTGAAAATTATGAGTTTCTATAATTATTTTGTGACTAATTTTAATTATATTTTATAGCGCCCTCAAAACCAACACATGGGTCCTAAACCCTATAAGAATTTCTCTCATAATATACTCTTACATGTAAATGCTTTTGTTTGTAAATTCCAAGAGGATTCGGATTTAATATTTACATTGTTTGATGGGGAGTCACATCGACCTATTAGTGAGAATTATGTAGTCAAATGGTCACGCACTGGCATTGCCCGGGACATTGATCAATTCGATAATAATCGTGTACTCTTTACCGATCTCAGTAAGAACGATGTCAGCATACCGAAAATGTATTTGGTTTGTTATGCGGTGCGCATTGGTTCCATGGAAATGAAAGAGAACGATTCGAAACGTACCAGCATTACAAACACCATGTTAACAGCAGCCAGTAAGAAACACTCACAGCTTTCAATTAGTTCCAGTGGTTCGTTTAGTGGCTCAGAATACATAATGAGAAGACCGTTTGGTGTGGCCTACAAGGATTTGACACCCATCATTAACAAGCCAGATGATTTCAAGGGTAATTTGGATATGCCCTTTATACTGTGTGAAAAGGATAGTTTAGATGGCACTTTGAGAAAATTAATAGCCAACAAGGATATAGGCAAAATAGATTCCCGCATGTGTGTTACGGTAGAGGTATTGCAAGGTGATATTAAACAAATCAAAGAAGAATTTCCGCGACTTTTACATACAAATGTGCCCATAGCGCGTAAAATGGGTTTTCCAGAAGTTATATTACCCGGTGATGTGCGCAATGATTTGTATTTAACCCTCTGTTCGGGAGAATTTGCGCGTATAGCAAAAACCTCAGAAAAGAATGTAGAGGTAACAATAACAGTATGCAACGAACAGGGTCAAATGGTGCCGGGTGTCATGAGTATAGGGTCTGGTCTAGCGCCCATAGATGAATACAAGTCGGTGGTTTATTATCACGATGATAAACCCAAATGGTTGGAAACTTTTAAGGTAAATCCATTAAGCTGTTAAATGTTATATACAACATAAAACTGTTGTGATAATCTTTTTTTCAGATACATGTCCCTATAGATGAATTCAAACAGTGTCATTTAAAATTCGTATTCAAACATCGCAGCTCTAATGAACAAAAAGATAAATCAGAAAAACCTTTTGGTCTATCCTATATAAAGCTAATGCAAGATAATGGCACCACTATAACAGTAAGTTTGTTCTTTCTTTTTCACACAATCATTTTATTAATTCTTGTCTAACAACCATAGCAAGGACAACATACTTTAGCCGTTTACAAAATTGATCATAAAAAACTGGATAAAGCCAACTCTAATAATTTACACATGGAATTACCCTCCACTATTAATGAATTACAAGGTGCCAAACCATCAGTGCCTGGTTTGTCGCTGCTGCCCAAAGACCAATTGGTTATAGGTGTTAATCTTTGCAGTACCAAGCTTACACAAAGTGTTATACTTTTGGGTCTCTTAAATTGGTCGGCACACAAGGAAACTTTAGAAGAATCATTAAATGCTTTGTCTAATGTGCCAGGCGAAGAGGTTGTGAAATTTTTACAAGATATCTTGGATGCTTTATTCAATATTTTAGTGGAAAATGATGATCCCGCCAAATATGATCAATTAGTGTTCATGAGCATAATACATCTGATAGAAACTGTATCGGATTTAAAGTATCAACATTTTCTAACTGTACTAGATGTCTATATAAATGAAAGCTTCTCAGCAACACTGGCTTATGCGTAAGTTTCTTGTGGTAAATCATAGACGAGACAGTTGTGGATTAATTTATTCATTTTTCTTTCTTTTATTGCAAACAAAATACAGCAAACTTATTGATGTTTTACAAAAGAATATTAAAGAAGCTATTGAACCCAAAGAGAAGTCAGCAGATGGCATTGAAATTGATGAACGTATTGAGGTTAAACGTCTTTATAAGACCACCAGATATTTACACTATGTAATGAAATTTATCATACGTTCACGCATCTTATTCTCCGCCATTAATGATAATTCAGATTATGATGATTTTGCCAATAAATTGCATGGTAATTGAATATAATTTTTTATTTATATGTTTTTTTTTTTAATTAAATTTTTCTTTGCTTTAGAACTTTTGGAAATGTTTATTAAAATGATAGCTTGTCCCACAGATCTGTTAAAATCAGAAGGAGCTTTATTAAAAAATCTACACATTATAGCCACTGATTTAATGCAGGTGTTTGATCCTGTGCGCTTAAGGTAGTATTTTATAACAGTTGTATATTTTAAAAAGTATATTTTATGGGAATATTATTTTTGTTTTCAGTATTGTTATTGTAAATATATTGAAACAATTTCCTCCCCGCCGTTTAACCCAATCGAAAATGGGTTGCATTAAGGATTTTGTGGATGCAAAATTGTTCTATTTACCCGAATGTCGTGCTATTTTATTACCCGTCTTTTGTAATCATATTAAGGATCGTCTGGAAAGTAAGGAAGAGGTAAGTCAACTATAATGGTTTAGTTTTATAAATTTTTTGTTTCTTTTTCTTATTAATTGTTTTTTTAATATGTTTTTCATATTTGTTTGTTTGTATTAATATCTAATAACGTTTGCCATTATACAAAAAAAAACATTGTCATACTGTTCTTTAATAATACTTCCTTTAATGCGAATCAATTTAATTTCTTGGGAAATAATTGTTCATTTTAACTAGTCGTTTGTCATTATTGCAAAATGAGTGAGAGAACACAATCATTTATTACTACTTCATCTACTCAAATAATATTTTGCCTTTTTGGGCTAATTTCTAATAATTTAATTTTTTTTAACAATTATCAAATTCATTACTTCTCTAACTATTCAGTTAAAATATTTATTACATTTTTCGTTTTTTACTTAATTGATTTTAATCATTTTTGTTGTTTTCATATACAGATTAAAGGGGAATCCATTAAGAAATATGTTAATTTAAATCTTTGAAGAAATACAGGCATATAAAGGGGAATATAAAACACCAGTTCTCTCTAACTAATTGAGTTATCTCAGGTCAAGTTTTATAAAGTTTAAAATCGATTTGATTTACTATAACCTAATAATTTTCATTCTTAAAGTCCCGATTTCGATTATTTTTTAATCAATATTGATGAGTAGTCCTAATTTTTAATGTTTTGAGATCCGAAATATAAAATTTTGTTAGAAAATATCAATATTTAATAAAAATTTCTTCTCTTCCATTTGACTCTAGTTTAAAACAATGTTTTTTAAAACCGCAAACCTTTTTTATTTGTTTTTTCTTTTAATTTTTTATTAATTTGAGCATGCCAGTGTTGTTATGTTTATGTCCATTAGAAATTAAGCATGTTATTTTTATGTTTCTTATATAATCTCTATGTATATATCATATTTATGTTTATGTTTTGTCCTATAATTTACAACGAAATACCTAACAAAAATTCACTATTTATAGGCAGACTTTTAAAGAACTTTTTCACATTATTCAAATAGAAAAAGTATGTTTTTAAAAGTCTGTTCAATAAGTTTAGTTGATTAGAGAGTAATTAGTGTTTAAAAGTAAATAAATAATTTTTGTATTTATATAGAAATACAAATATAATTTTAACTTATTTAAATTTATTATACAACTATAAATAGCTCAGTTTTATATTAAGAAATTGTTATATTTTTATTTTTAATCAATGTTTAGTTACAGAATTTTATTAAAGATAATTCTTTTTTTAGTTAGTTAAATACTTGTGTATGCACGCTGTTTTCTTAGGATTTTTAAATTTCATTTTTTTATCATCATCATCATAAACTATTTTTCTCATCATTTGAATAAATTATTTATGCTATTCATTTATACACATAAAACGAATCTTCTACAAACACCTACATACATAATTACCATAATATTATCACACACTTGTTCATCATTCATACTCATTCATTCATTCATTCATTCATTGTTGCAATTTAATTAGCTGTTATTAATTTTTTTAATTTTTTCTGTAAGTCTCTTAGAGGAGCAAGTAATTTTCTTTACCTTTTGTTTTTAATACAATTTACAATTTATTAAATGCGTTTCATAATATATCTTGTGATCTTACCAACACAACTCACCTCATATCACTTACACCATTATTTGAATGTGTTCACCAAACCACCACCAAAGTCAACACCTTTTTAAATACTATTATTATTTTTTGTTAGTTTCTTTCTTTTTTTTTTAATTTTGTGTCTTTTTATTTTACATTTTTTTTTTGTTGCTAATTATTATTTTTCTTTAAATAATAATGTTTTAATTTTTAACTTCTGGTATTCATTGTAATTTTGAACACATTTTCTTACAAAATGTATATTTTGTTTTCAAAATTGTTCAAATGGTTTTTGTTTTCCACCAACTCTTGCCCTCATTTACATAAACTTTTCTCTTTTTGCTTTTTGTTAATCACAATAAAATTTTTGAAACAAAAATCGTTTTGTTTGTTAATTGCAAACCATGTACAAATCATACAATCAAAATACTACTTAGGGTGACACCAAATCTGATATATGGCAACAAGAAAAAAATCTTTCGAAAGCAGCTAAAGTTCTTGGACAATTAAAATCTCAACTGCATACTCGTGAAACAACAGCCAAACAAAAGGTAAACGCAAATCATTAGACCAAAATTTCCACATAATTTAGGATAAAAAATCATCATTTAAAAACAAATCAATATCAATCATTGAAACAAAACAAGCTTTAAATTTATAAGTTTTACCCCAAAGAGTTAAACACTCTTAAAACTTATTTATTAGTTATGTATTAGAACGTTATGGGTTCCCTACATATGCTTTTATTATGTTAATTTATTACTATTTTTTTTATTGTTTTAGTAGTTTTAATTGTAGTTTTAAAATACAAAAATAAAGTCATGTGCTTAAGTAGAAAACAATAGCAAAAAGAACATCAGCTTGATTTATGGGAAATCGAAAACTAGTAATACACTCATTAATCATTGTTTTTTTTCCACAGCTGTGGTGAAATTAAGTAAAACTAAATAGAATTTGTAATGAAAAAAGTTAATTATAATGCAATAAAGTTTTAAGAATTGCTATTCCAGTTTTACAAATTGTAATTAATTGAGAAACAATTAATACAAATGTAATTTGTAAAACTATTAAATTAAATTTTAAAGCTAACAATTAATAGTTTTATGTTTTAAGTAAAACATAAGTGAGGATTTAACAACCTTGTCTTTGTTATAAGGTTTTGTAAATGTTTGTCATGTCATTTCGTTTGTGATTTCTACTATAAGACACTAAACAGTCGCTTTGTAGATATCCGACTGTCTGTCCGTATGTTCACTGAAACAACTTTTTTAAAGGTCTCAATTATCTTCGGAATTAATTTATTGGATCCCTTTATTTGATCTGCTTTTGAAAATTTAACTATTTAATACCAGCACATTCGGTCATATACATATTAAATATAAGATAAAAATTGTGAGAAATCAAGGTTTTTCGTATAATTTTGTATAAATCATGAATGGTATATTCTGCAGAAAGAAGACATTTTATTTGATATATATAGAGTCTAGGAAAAGGGTTGTGTGTTTATAATATATTATAAAATATGTGTTTTTAAAGTTTTTATTCACATCTCAACTATAAATGCACATGAAGTGAACATGAACTGTAAACCCTTTTTGGTCTGCAATGGCTTTTGATTATTCTTATACTTTTTATAGCTGTTTTCCATAAGTATAGAAAAACTACATAATTTTATAAAAATACCAAAATTCTTTAAATACTTTAAATAAATATATTACACGTATTGCAACACATTTAGTGTTTTTATACTGAGTCTTAAAAATTTATATTATTATCTAATTTATTAATTAAACATTTTTTGTGTGTTTTCACTACTTTATTTCCTTACTTTTTTACTGCAATCAATATTAATTATAATTTATTTTATTTATTGTATGCTTTAAGCTTAGCTTTCAAATTACAACATGTATAAAATTAAGCAGGTTTTTTTAGGTATTATAAATTTTATTAATATTATTATTTTCATTTTTTTTATAAATAATTTTATATTAAAAATATTTCAGGAAAAATAGTTTATTTTGCGAAATTTGTATAAACGTTCCAAATGAAAATTAACTCGATTTAAAATAATTTAAAAAGTTTTAGTAAACAAAAAATGCAAAAATTTAGACTACTCCGCACACGTGTTTAAAGTGTCTTCCTCAAAGAACTAAGACTGGTTCAAAACTAATCCAAATATATGGAAAAACATACTCCATTTAACATTGTAATGTCCTAGGCGAGGACCATGTAATCCATATTTGCATTACAGCAGAGTAATCGCAAAACTTCTCCCTTACTAAAATCAAGGGAGAACATGATCTGCAAGATGATTTTCAAAAAATCTACATTACATAGGCCTATTTTAGAGGATCATGTGCTCCAACAATGTTTACAGGGGAGTAATTTTGGGATACCTAAATGGATCATATACTCCAATAATTTTTGCAGGGATATTTGATATTTATTGTCGAAAGACTTCAGCAAAACCAAAAACTTTATGCAATAATTTTATTTTAAAAACATTTATTCCTATTATCCTTCTTAAATAACTTTAAAAATAAGCAAATTTTTTAAATTAACTACAAATCGAGTTTATATTTTCAATTGAAACGTTATTAACTTAAAGGAAAATAATCTTAATATTAATATATATTTTTTATAATTCCAAACTCTTTCAATTCACTCACACAGGTTACAGAATGTATAAATATTATGAACAACATTCTTAAACTACTCTACCGTAAGGATATTGGACAGACACACAACGATGTACGCGATATTATGCTCATACTCTTGCGTACTGTCATTAAAACTTCTCAGGCGCTGGATCGCGAAAATCAATTGGTTGGCAATTTGGTAGCCATTATGTTGGGCATACTACAACGCATGGATGCTTCACATTATGAGACTTTTGTTAAACATTTAAATAATCGTTTTGAGTTGCAAGATTTCATCATTGAAATCTTATTGGTTTTTGAGGAATTGGTATCACCTCATCAGAAGACCGTATTTCCACGTGATTGGATGGATATGATAATGCATCAGAACACTGTTATTTTGGGCTCTTTGCAACATTTGTCGGTCGTCATTGTAGATCATTTCTTCGATCCATTTGAGAAACAAGTTTGGTCGAATTTCTTTCAATGTTCGATTGCGTTTTTGATTCAGTCGCCTCTACAGCTAAATGACTTCAATGATAATAAGCGCCAGGTAATATTTGCTCGCTACCGTGATATACGCAAAGATACTGCTCAAGAGATTCGTAAAATGTGGTTCCAATTGGGTGAACACAAGCCGAAATTTGTACCCCAATTGGTGGAACCTATTTTAGAAATGAGTATGATTCCCGAAGTGGAACTAAGAAAAGCCACCATACCCATCTTCTTCGATATGATGCAGTGTGAATATTATAGTTCCAAACTAATTCATGACAGCTATGGTGATACCAAACGCAATAATGCTCACTACAAGGCCAATTTCAATGACTTTGAAACTGAAATGATTGAGAAACTTGATATACTAATCGGAGCCGGTAAAGGAGACGTGGAATATAAGGAATTATTTGCCGAAATTCTTTTGGAAAAATGTAGTGCACATAATATTTTAAATACCGAGGGTACCAAGTTTGTTAATATGGTTACAAAACTAATGGATCGTTTACTGGAATACCGCTGTATCATACAGGATGAAAGTAAGGAAAACCGTATGGCTTGTACCTTCTCCCTGCTGCAGTTCTATTCCCTGGTTAACCGCAAAGAAATGTACATACGTTATGTATATAAATTATGTGATTTACACATGGAATTTGACAATTATACCGAAGCGGCTTTTACCTTGAAATTGCACACCGAACTGTTAAATTGGAATGATACTGAACTATCGCCTTTACTAAGATCCCATCGTCATATACAATGCCGCACGCACCGAGAGTTGAAAGAAGCTCTATACTTTGAGGTCATTGATTATTTTGACAAGGGCAAAATGTGGGAATGCGCCATTGATATGTGCAAGGTTCTAGTGCAACAATATGAAAACGAAATTTACGATTATATCAAATTGGCCGATTTGCTTAAGAAAATGGCCCTCTTCTTTGAGAAGATATTGAAAGAAATGAGACATACTTCAGAATATTTCCGTGTTTGCTTTTATGGTTTGGGTTTCCCCAGATTTTTGCAAAACAAGGCCTACATCTATCGTGGCAAGGAATATGAACGTTTAAGTGATTTTAGTACACGCATATTAGTGCAACATCCTCAGGCTGAGCTAATGCACACTCTGGAACTGCCGGGAGAAGATATAACACAAGGTGATGGTCAATATATACAAATTAACAAAGTTGAACCCATAATGGATGAGTCGTGTGCCAAGTTTGATGACAAAATTATTTCAAATGAAATAATCAAATATTTCACCAACAACAATGTACAAAAGTTCAAATACTCACGACCCTATCGCGAGAGTAGTAGTGGTGATACGGATGGTGTAAGAAATCTGTGGTTGGAACGTACCATCTTGACCACCCAATTCCCCTTGCCGGGCATACTAAGATGGTTCCCAGTAGTAGATTCTAATACATTTAAGGTAAGTTGTAGGAGAATAACTGTATTTTAGAAAAATTGTAAAGAAAACGTTTTGCTTTCCTTAGATTACACCCATTGAACTGGCGGTTGAGACTATGAAATCGACCAATAAAGATATCAGAGATTTGATTATTGCCCATAAGAACGATGAAAACTTACCCATCAATCAGTTGAGCATGAAAATCAATGGTATTGTAGATCCAGCTGTCATGGGCGGTTTCAGCAAATATGAAGATGCTTTCCTCACCTGCGATTATTTAGAAGAGCATCCTAATCACAAAGAGCTAGTAGATGAATTAAAGGATTTAATAGCTTCTCAAATACCTTTATTGGAAATTGGTAAGTTTTACCTAATAATATTAATAACATTAAGTAAAATCTTGTTTATTTGTTGTTTACTTGTCTCAATTTTAGCAATTTCTCTGCATAAACAAAAGGCACCCGAAAGTTTGAAACTTTTCCATGAACGCATGGAAAGTTGTTTTGCCGATATGCAAGCAAATGTTGAAGCCAAATATGGCAAAAAGGTATGTTTAGCTTAACATTAGATTGACTATAAATTTTATTTCGATTCATTTTTATAGTCTTGCGATTTAAAGATTGATCGAGATTCGGTTATAATGCGACGCAATAACTCTTTCTTACCCAACATGTTTGACAACAACAATCGCTTGTCTGAAACCAGCATGGGTTCATCAGAGTAAGTAAATTTTAAAATATTTTAAAATTTCATGATCTCAAGAATGTATTCTAATTGCAGTAGCGGACTATCGAAATCAACCTCTTCCGTTAGACCTCAAACGAATTCGATTAAATCCACCTTTGGGTTTGCTTTTAATCCCAGGTACGTGTAAAATATTGAAACAGTTGAACAACTTTTACTTAAAATTACAGCATAGAAAAACAAATTGTGTAAAAAACATTTTAATAATTTCATTTTTTTACCATTTTTAATTGTTTTGTAAATAATTTTATTTTTGTGTTCTTCAGTTTAAGAATTTAATTATTTTTTCTGTAAATTTGTTGCAACTTTTCTTTCTTTAGTTTCTTAAAATTCTAAAGCTCCTTTTGTGTAAATTTTTTGCTTTATGTGTTGTGTTCTTTTTTTGTTTCCTTTTCCTTTTCGTTTGGTTTTTTCGTTGTTATTTGTTTTTGTAACACGCTCAGACCCAGTTTAGGACATTCGCCCAGCACGAAGAGCAAAACGAAGGATAAGACACCCTCAAAGAGAAGATCAATTAAAAAGGTTTGTTGTTATTTTATTAAAGAATTAAGAAATGTAGTATGTAATTGATATTTTTCTTATACATTTTAGTTGGATCGCGAAACATTAAGTCTACCAGTGGCGAATAGTCAGTGGTATACAACACCTTTAAGTACCATAACATCAACGCCTGAAAGAGATTCTAATACATCTATAATAAGTGCTTCCAATACCTCGTTGTCATCTGTCAAAACACCTGATCCAAAAGTGCTCACAGAAGAGGTAAATATTTTCATATAAAACTTAAACTTTGTCATTAAACAACAATATCTATATTAAAAACTTCTTTAGCTAACACCCAAAAGACCTTTACGCTCGGAAAAGGAAAAAGAAAGACGTTTATCACGTCCGGCTAGTATAGCTACTCCTACAGCCAGTATGAAGGGATTCTCGGCGGCCGATTCTCAATCGCTATCGGGTGCTGAAAGCAGCAACCGCAATTCAGTCGACACCACCGATTCAACATCGGAAGAAGACCTCATACCACCACCACTACCCGCCAAAACAAGAGACTCTACCGACTTTACAAGCCTCAATTATAGTTTGGATTGGAATAACGGTTCATTTTCATTGGGTGGTGCCATGAGTCCAACTGGTACAATTACCAGAACCACTTCCTGCTCCACTACTACCAGTATTGTCAACACATCATACGAATATGTTGAAGCTAAAAATTTCATTATCACATCGACTACTTTAGATGACAAAAAGAGGCCGCCCACGCCTCCACCAAAGCCATCGAGGAATAGCAAACACATTCCATAGTTTTTCAGGTTTCAAAATGGAAAATATTCGTGTTAACAAAAAAAAACAAAGTGACCAAAGTTAAGCCATAATACATAAATAAATAATATTTAAACAAAAACAATAAAATAAATATTTAAAAAGAAGTAAACAAGTGCCAAAAAAAAAAACATAAAACTAAAATATTGAAATCAAAAAACGAAACAAAACAATTTGACGAACGCTCGCTCTAAAATTTAAAGAAAAAGGAACTTTTTTAAAATTGATATTAAAAATTTTATGAAAAACAAAATTTTTACACTTTACATTCATAATTTGTACTAAATGTCTTCCCTTATTTTAATTCTATTTACTTATACATTTTATACTTATTGTGTCATTTTTCAAAAAACAATAACTTTAAATTTTAATAAGTTAATAATAATAAACAAATTATTTACTTCCAAAACTAACAAAAAAGAAAATCGTACTGAAAAGAAAACTCAGTATTCGTTTAACATTAATTATGCACAAAAATTAATTATTGTTGTTTAACTAATTTTAAGTAAGTGCCACAACAAATTAAGTTTTATATTAAACAAATAACAAACTTATTACAATTATTTTCTTATCGTTTTAAGTAACAAACACAAATGAAAAATCAAGTCAATTATTTAACAGAAAACAAAAAATCTAAAATAATGTTAAAACCAATTATTTATATTTATATAATTGATATTTCTTATTTTTTATGATTTTCACCTCATTGGCAATAACGTTTTTAATCGAAATTTATTTTTATTTTAGGATAACTTTTTTTATAAAATTTTCATTTCGGATAAACAATTTATGCTGCAATATATTGTTCTAAAATTTTAAACATTTATATGTGTCTTATTTTTAATTTAATGTTTATTTGTATTGTACTTGTTTTTATTGGTTTAGTTTTATGATTTTGGATCTTTATTTAATAAATGGCCAAAGATTTTATAAGTGTACACTAGATTTTATATTAAGAACAACGTTTTTAGAATAAATTTAATGTTTATATTATACACATACATACAAAAAATATACCTACTTATATGATTAACTATAATAAAAAGTTAAACAAAAATATGTGTTTTATTGGTAAGAATAATACAGAACGTGCGTATCTAAATTATTTTGTATATAAGCGACCACTCGCCCACTTGAAATTTTGAATTAAATAGTAACATATTATTCCTTCCTAACATATGTACCATATAATTTCAGGATTTATATATAGATGTTTGGCCTGTTGTGTTGGTTGGGATCGAAACCTCGACCTACGAACTGACATACTAGAAAAACACTACTCAGTCGTAGACTTCTTTAGTAACATACTAATTAAGAAAATATTCTAAAAAACTAAATAGGCTGTAATTACACCCTTCCACATTAATTTACCATCGGAAAAGGGTATTCCAATTAAACTAAATCATAAGAAAGCAGTTCCATTTGCTTTCAATGTCTTACGATTGTGTGTATTCTGCTTACGATCATACAGAGCTGTAAATTAATTATTCATTTTTGATTTTAATTCGTTGAGAATTACTAAATTTTTGAATTATTTTCTCAACAAAAAAGAATTGAATGAAATGTGTATCAATTCAAACGAATTAGTCAGAAATAATTTCAATTCAATTGAATTTGTGAAATGAATTGCAATTCGTTTCTAATTCAATTGAATTTGTGAAAATGAATCAGAAAAGAAAAATTAATTTGAATTGGAAATAAATTGCAATTAATTTTTGAGTGTAAACTCCCGCAAGGAATAGATAGCACGAACAATTTCAAATTTTTTTTTTTATATGAAAACCTAAATTACATTTCCAATAAAAATGTATGTCCTGGAATCGGTTTATCAAAAGCTTACATACATTTATATGTGTGTGTTTTTGTACTAATACGAAATAATTAAAAAGACTTGTTTAATATTTATTTTTGCTTTATTTAAAAAAATCTTAAATAATATCCCAGCAAAAAATAATTGATGTCATACTTTACAAACGACATCTTAATCACATCTAAAAATGCGATTGCATACTTTTCGCTTTTATAAACCAAACATATACTTACAAATTAAAACACAGTTAAAAATGAGAAAAGAGATGTGGAAAAGTCACTACAAACAACATATTCGAAGTACTTCAAATTTTGATGAAAAACCAATGAAATTTACATAAGCGTTTCATTGAAAGAATTTGGTTTATTTTTGACATACAAATATCGGATGTTTACAGCTTCTAAAGATAAGATTAGATGTAGTTCAAAGTTGTCAAAAATGAACAACATCCTTCCAATGGCACGCTAATGTAAAATTCATAGGTTTTTCACCTGAATTTGAAGCACTTCGGGTTACTAGTTGTGATGAAAATTCTACATCTTTTTCCACACTTTTTTTGCTGTGATTATAAAAGTGTTATAAAAATTTTGTTTAAAGAACTTGTAGTGTTTTTTGTTTGTTTTTTGAAATTGTATTAGTAAATCTGACAAGAATAACGACGTTGAAATAAAAAAAAATTATATATTTTTATAAAAAAACAATTAATTAAATTAAAACAAACTAGTAAAAGGAAAGAAACTTGCAGTCTATAAAGAATTTGTTTCTTTTTTTTTATTTGTATCTACTTCCCAGCAAAAAAGTGTGGAAAAAGATGTAGTATTTTCTTCACAACCCAGCAAAAAAAGTGAGGAAAAAGAAGTAGAATTTTCACCACAAATAACATACTTGAAGTACTTCCAATTTTGGTGAAAAACCTATGAATTTTACATTAGCGTGTCATTATAGGGATATTGTTCATTTTTGACAACTTTGAACTACATCTAATCTTATTCATAGATGCAGTAAAAATCCGATATTTGGATGTCAAAAATAAACCACATTCTTTCAATGACACGCTTATGTAAATTTCATTGGATTTTCAGCAAAATTTGATGTACTTCGAATATGTTATTTATACTGACTTTTCAACATCTCATCATGTAAGGAAATATTTGGTTTATAGAAGCGAAAAATATGCAATCGCATTTTTAGATGTGATTAAGATGTCGTTTGACATAAATTATTTTTTGCTGGGAACTAGTAATCCGAAGTGCTTCAAATTCGATTGAAAAATCTATGAATTTTACATTAGCGTGTCATTGGAGGGATGTTGTTCATTTTTGACAACTTTGAACTACTTCTAGAAGCAATAAAAATCCGATATTGGGATGTCAAAAATAAACCACATTATTTCAATGACAACCCAGCAAAAAAAGTGAGGAAAAAGAAGTAGAATATTCACCACAAATAACATACTTGAAGTACTTCCAATTTTGGTGAAAAACCTATGAATTTTACATTAGCGTGTCATTGGAGGGATGTTGTTCATTTTTGACAACTTTGAACTACATCTAATCTTATTCATAGATGCAATAAAAATCCGATATTTGGATGTCAAAAATAAACCACATTCTTTCAATGACACGCTTATGTAAATTTCATTGGATTTTCATTAAAATTTGATGTACTTCGAATATGTTATTTATAGTGACTTTTCAACATCTCTTTCCTCACTTTTAACTCGGTTTTTATTTGTAAGGAAATATTTGGTTTATAGAAGCGAAAAATATGCAATCGCATTTTTAGATGTGATTAAGATGTCGTTTGTAAAGTATGACATCAATTATTTTTTGGTGGGAAGCTTATGTAGATTTTACTGGTATTTCACTAAAACTTGATATACTTCAAATATGTTGTTTATAATAACTTTTCTACATCTATTTCCTCATTTTTAACTGGGTTTTCATTTGTAAGGAAATATTTGATTTATAAAAGCGGAAAATATGTAATCGCATTTTTAGATGTGATTAAGTCGTTTGTCGTTTGTAAAGTATGACATCAATTATTTTTTGCTAGTGTATGTTGAAATTTCATATAATTGTATCTTTTGAATTAATGATAACATTATTTTATATGGTTTAAAATTTATATTTTTACCTTGAAGTCAAAACCTACCTGCCCAAACTTCCGTTTGCCAGTGATCCAAAAGTAAGTACATATATAATATTAGTGGCTTTCAAACATATTTTTAATAAATTATTAAAGAAGTCATTTATTAAAAATAGTTATAAGTAACTTATTTATAAATATCATTAATATTTTTAATAACAAGTATTTTTTGGGACAGGAGGTCGTAAAAATAAAAAAGCAGCTAAACGCAAGGGAAAAATGAATGAAATAGCAAAATAATAAATCCAATAGTGGTAAGATAATAATTACAACAGTAAATAGTATAAAGCAAAATATCAAATTAAATTTTATTATTTTAGCATCAGCACAACATCTATTGAAATTAAATATCTGGACTTGAAAAGTAAAAAATTATTTTTTATTTATTTAGCAGATGAATCCGAAGAAGAGACTACTACAGGGGTGGCGTTGGAAGTGGTGGCATTTGGAGTGGAGAAAACATCATGATCATCATAGCAATGCGGTCTCTACAGGACCAAGTGGTGTTAGGGACAATTCCTCACAAATACAGAAAAAAAATGCAAGTTATACGCAGTGTTTACTGAGCTTTACCAAAGAATTTGGAGCAAATTATGTGAGAGATTTGTGGCATAATGAATTTAAACTGGATAGAGGGCAAATTTTCATGAGTGATCAACAGCAATGGCGACAATTTGTTGCACTTAACAAATAACAATTCCTCTACGACAGTAAGGAAAAGCAAGAAATTATAACAGCAAATGCCAATAATAATAATAACAACAACAATAATAGCTTAACAATAGAGAATTATCATGTGAAGCGTTTAGAAATACTTTTAAGTTCACCCAATGATTCGAATTTAGCTTTAGATTATATCAACACAAATGTAAATATACATTTTCTAAAAAATCTAACACGATTGCTCTGTTATTATGCCACTACAATGAAAACGACTCTGTCGGGATCGGTAAGTAGTGCAACAAGTAAAGACAGTAGTACCTACAGCAACATCAGTAGCAGTACTACAAAACAACCTAGTAATAGTAACAATGACAGGAAACCCCAACTAAATGTTAAAATATTTCGCAAAAGTTGTTTACCACTTTTGCGATTATGCATTGACGCCCATGAGGATCATGAATTGGCATGTCTCGACTCTGTTGTAGATGACTTACAAAAGGAGTTTGATACATATACAGCCAATAAACTGATCTGTGGCATTTTTGACATTATTTACGACCGTGAGATTATACCAAAAGAGTCATTTGAAAAGTGGTATAAAACAAGACAACACCAGCAATAGGACCAGAAAAAACATGTAAATTCAAAAAAAAAAAAAAAGACCTTTAAGTGCTCATTTAGAGGCTTATATGCAAAATCTACTTTAACAAAGTAAACTCAGCAAAAAATAATTGATGTCAAACTTTACAAACGACATCTTAATCACATCTAAAAATATGATTACATATTTTCCGTTTTTATAAACCAAATATTTCCTTACAAATGAAAACCCAGTTAAAAGTGAGGAAATAGATGTAGAAAAGTCATTACAAACAACATATTTGAAGTACATCAAGTTTTGGTGAAAAAACAGTAAAATTTACATAAACGTGCCATTGAAATAATGTGGATTTTTACTGCTTCTAAATATGTATAAGATTACATGTAGTTCAAAGTTATCAAAAATGAACAACATCCCTGCAATAAACCGTTTTTCATCCGAATTTGAAGCACTTCGGGTTACTAGTTCCCAGCAAAAAATTATTGATGTCATACTTTACGAACGACATCTTAATCACATCTAAAAATGCGATTACATATTTTTCGCTTTTATAAATCAAACATAATCTTACAAATGAAAAGACATTTAAAAGTGAGGAAAGATATGTTCAAAAGTCACTACAAATAACACATTCGAAGTACATACTTCAAATTTTGGTGAAAAACCAATGAAATTTACATTAGCGTGTCATTGAAAGAATGTGGTTTATTTTTGACATTGAAATATCAGATTTTTAATGCTTCTACAAATAAGGATATATGTAGTTCAAAGTTGCCAAAAATGAACAACATCCCTCCAATGACTCGTTAAGGGCCAAGTATGTTTGATAAGCCGCTTGCGTAGTCTATTTGGGCCTTTAATGTAAAATTTATAGATTTTCACCCGATTTTGAAGCACTTCGGGTTACTAGTTGTGATAAAAATACTAAATTTTTTTCCACACTTATTTTGCCCTAACCTTAATTTCTGTGGAATGGTCAGAATCAGACTCTACTGTCGAATTTTTGAAACATTATCTGGTAATTCTTGATTAAAATATAATTTATTAAAAATATGTATGAATATGAAACCACTATTATTGTATACATACTTTTTGGTTCAGTGGCAACAAAAGAGGATACGGACTGTGGCAAATCTTGTTGAATATCTTTGGATTTTACTTCATCTTTATTATCAACGGAAGTTTGGGCAGATATTGTGCAAGGTTCATCTTTTGATTTAACTGCAAGATAAAAATATAAATTTTAAATCATATAAAATAATGTTATCATTAATTCAAAAGGTACAGTTATATGAAATTTGAACTTACCCTACGTTTCTGTGGAAATGTCAGAATCAGACTCTACTGGCTGCATTGTAATAAGATCGCCAGCAGGAATATTTTCAGGCTCTTGTTGATTTTTTGAAACGTTATCTGGTAATTCTTGATCAACACACGTTAAATATCCATTAATTGTATCAAGAACATCGTCTACATTGTCCAACTCATGTTCATTAGTGTTGGCATCTGTAACATTGGGGTCATCGTAAGTTACTTTTTCGATTCGCTATCTGCAATCGCCGAAAAAAGTAACTTACTGCAACTGTTTGAGTTCCTATTGCTAAACCACTGGTCTGCTTAACGATATCTTAGTTTCCATCATCTGTCTGTACAGAGATCGACTGTAACTGTGATTCTACATTTACATCATTTTAGCGGGAATTTGTGTCTGTGTTTGGACATCAGCAGCCAAGTGTTCAAATGTTACGATCTCCAGGGTTCTGTCAGGATTAATAATTGGAATTACGTGTTTTCGTTGTTTTATGTTTGTAGAGTGCTCTGTATTTGATGCTGCACCACTAACTGCTATACCTACAGCTGGTATATTTATGGGTGTGGATGAGGTTGAAGCTGTTGGCATGGCATTACTTCACCCCTATGGACGTATGCTTGGTTGGTGCTGGTTGAAACGTTACAACCGTTGGTGGAGTACCTAACAGTAGTGGTGGTGTGCAGTATGGTGGTGGCACGTATGCTGTTGGCCCACTGGGAGTTACACTTCTGGGTGTAATATTTTGAAGTTGTGTACTCATTGAACCACCACTGGCCGCATGTTGAGGAGCAGGGTTTGAAAGAAGTATCGATTGCTCTCAAAATAACGGTTGTTTTTATATTGGGTCTGAAAATAAAGGGACATTTATTAGTATATAAATATTTTCTCTAACTTAAATATGTATTTTTATTTTTTTATCCGAAAATTACATGATTTGTTTTTAATATTCTACTTTTTGTTTACTTTGTTCAGAAATTTTCTTTTATCTGACAATTAAAACAATGAATGATTGATTTGATTTTTCGATTTTCTTTATGTTTGACAAATAAGGGAATGAAGAATTGATTGGATTTTTTAATAATTCTGCTTTCAGTTATTATAATACGATTTCTGACGTTAAAAAACCGGCACTTTTGCAATTTTTTCTTTTATTTCATTTTTAAGCCTACAATTTATTATGATCACTTTCTTATTTGAACACACTCCAATAATATTCAAGTTCAAGTTTCTTAATTACACATATAATTTTCTTTTTATGTTCTATTTTTCTTCACATAACTTTTTTAATAATTCTGCATGCGTAATATCATATGGTATAAATATATTAGAAGGTAGTTTCAATTTGCATTAATGTCAGTCTGATTAACCATCTGACAAGAAAGTCGATTTGAAGTTAAAGTAGAAAATAAAGCTACTATATTCATGAATATTAATCCCACATTTGCTTTTAAATTCAAACTTCAAATAAATAAAAATATTTTATTGCAAATAAAAAAATATCTAACAACAAAAAAAAAAAAATATACATATATATATTTTAATAAAAATGAGCTGTCTTTTTCCGAACTGCGTACTATCCCGTATATTCGCAAAGAATGGTTAAAGGTATATATACATATGTTATATTTTTGGTTGAAGTTCATTCGTAATATTTTCAATTAAAAGTTGTGTAATATCCGTCTGTCTGTTGAAAGTACTATAGAGTCCGTTCGAAGATTTAATGTAATCCCTGTACAAATGTTTTCCCGGAATACTGTTTTAAGATTCATAACTTTGTTTTTGTTGTTGTAACATCTAAAACTATACAAAGATCTAGTTGGGGGTTCCTCATCAATGTCCAGGCCTAAAAATTCTGCTACATCCTGTTGGGTTGGTGGGAATTGAAACCTCGACTAACGTACTGACATACTAGAAACACACTACACTCGATCGTTGACTTTTTTAATAACATAGTAAAAAATGGCTGCAATTCATTAACGCTACAATCGAAAAAAGGGTATTCCAATTAAACTAAATCATAAAAAAGCAGTTCCATTTCCATAGCGATCATACAGAGCTGTAAATGAATTATTCATTTTTTTATTTTAATTCGTTACGAATTAACAAATTTTTGAATTATTTTCACAACAAAAAATCAATTCAAACGAATTAGGCAGAAATTCATTTCAATTCTTTTTCAATTCAAATGAATTGGAATTCGCTTTTAATTCGATTGAGTTTGTGAAAATGAATTGCAATTTATTACAATTGAATTAACTTTGAGTTGAATGAAATCATAAATGAGTCGCAATCAATCAAAGGGAAAGAAAAGTGAAAATTTCTCCTACTAGAATGAAAATATTCAGTACAAAAATTGAAAAGCTTTGTCGTAGATCCACGCCTGATGGTGTTTGAATTTGGTTTCTTCAAGAAAAACTGATTTTTATTTCGAACTAAGAAACGAAAGTTGAAATTTGAGCCAATTGAGCATTCTATGAATTCATTTGAATCAGAAACGAGTTGCAATTTATTTGACAAATTCATTTGAATTGGAAATGAATTGCAATTAATTTTTGAGTGTAAATTCCCACAAGGGATAGATAGCAGCTTCTTAGTTAGTAGTTAGTTATATTATAAATACGCCCATGTGATGACAACCGTATTTCGCCTAACATTGGCGATTGTGAAATCAAATCGCAAGAAGTTTGGCGATTTCAAATCACAAACATTAACTAAAGTGAACTAATTTCATTCGATTGAAAAAAGGTTTCGAAATACGTCTGTTAAATAGCAAGTGATTGTTACAAATTTTTATTTTCGAAAATAATAACAGAGTTAATAGATATCATTTAAAATTTCAAACTTTTATATGAAAACCTAAAATTGATTATAGATTCTTACATTTCCATTAAATTTTATGTCCTGGAATCCGTTATATCCCACAGATACAAATTCTTATTTTATTTACTTCTTTATTTTTTTATTATTATAAACTTTTGATGAAATAAAAATTTGATTTTGAATAAAGCCTCAGTTCTTCAGAAAAAGCTTAAGTAGACAAAATTAATAAAAATATAAAAAAATAAAAGTCGTTATATATTTATTGATTACAAAATTTGATTGCTTGACCCTGAAACTCCTTTAAACCTAATAAATAAAAGCCCATTTATTTGTGTTTGCTGTGTGTGTGTTTTTGTCATATTATTCAAGTTTATTATTTATATAATTCCAACTAAATGGAGAAAGTCTGTTTTTTTTCTTAGCACCTAACACTTTAAAAGTAATATTTTTTGTTTTGACATTTGACTGGAAATTTATTTATGTATAAAATAAATTTAATTATTTAAAGATTTTTACAAAAAATCTGTTTTAGTAATAGTTCTTTTTCTTAGGCTGGGTTTTACAGTTCTCACTAGGGTAAAAAATTGCACTTAGATTTTGAAATTTCAATGAAATTTTCAAACTGAAGTGAAATTGTTTCCCTTAGTTTGAACTATAAAACCGACCTTTAATTTTTTTATATTTAAAAGCCTAGTTGTATTTTTTCTTTTTTTTATAAATATATAATACATAGTTTTGTAATACTAATTCTAAAAAAATATTTGTTTTATTTTCAGTATTTTTTTTAAGTATTAAATATAAGACAAAGTATTTTATATATTTTTATATTAATATTTTTTATTGTTTTTATTTTTGCATTAATTATATTTAAAAATAATAAGCGACTGCATTAAAAAAATAATATGTGGTGATTGAATGAATGTATAAGTTATTTTATGTATGTGTGTGTGTGTTTTTGTACTAAAAGGTTTTAATACGAAATAATTAAAAAGACTTGTTTAATATTTATTTTTACTTTATTTAAAAAATAATAATCTTTAATAATATTATAAAAGTGTTTTAAAATGTAATTTTGTTTAAGGAACTTGGTGAGTGTTTTTTTTTTTTTTTTTTTTGTTTTTTGAAATTGTATTTGCAAATTTGCCAAGAATAATGAAGTTTAAAATAAAAAAAATAATATATTTTTATAAAAGAAATCACAGTTAATTTTGAAATGAAATTTAGAAAATAATATTGTTGAAAATGTTGTAGAATTTTACAGGAAAATTGTATTCTCCTGTAATTATATTTTTTTCCAATTTGTAGTTAAAATGTTTAATATTAGTTGTGTAGTGTTAGGATCTTGACAAAAAGTACTAGAAAAAGGAAAGAAACTTGCAGTCTATAAATAATTTGTTTGTTTTTCTTTTTGTGTATATTTTTAATTTTGTTTTAAATTCTTATTTGTATCTACTTTACTTTGTTAGAGTAGTTTTTGCATATAAGCCTCTAAATGAGCACTTAAAGGTCTTTTTATTTGTTTTGAATTTACTACATGTTTTTTCTGGTCTTGTTGCTGGTGTTGTCTTGTGTTATACCACTTTTCAAAGGACTCTTTTGGTATAACCTCACAGTCGTAAAGTATATCAAAAATGCCACAGATCAGTTCGTTGGCAGTGTTTGTATCAAACTCCTGTTGTAAGTCATCTACAACAGAGTCGAGACATGCCAATTCATGATCCTCATGGGCGTCAATGCATAATCGCAAAAGTGGTAAACAATTTTTGCGAAATATATTAACATTTAGTTGGGGTTTCCTGGCATTATTACTACTACTAGACTGTTCTGTGTTTTTGGTACTGCTCCTGCTACTGGTGTTGCTGCAGGTACTACTGTTTTTACTTACCGGAGATGATCCCGACAGAGTCGTTTTCATTGTGGTGGCATAATCACAGAGTAATCGTGTTAGATTTTTTAGAAAATTAATATTTATATTTACATTTGTGTTGATATAGTCTAAAGCTAAATTCGAATCATTGGGTGAACTTAAAAGTATTTCTAAACGCTTCACATGATGATCCTCTATTGATAAACTACTATCATTGTTGTTGTTGTTATTGGCATTTGCTGTTATGATTTCAGGCTTTGCCTTACTGTCGTAGAGGAATTGTAATTTATTTAGGGCAATAAATTGGCGCCATTGCTGTTGATCACCCATGAAAACTTGCCCTCTATCCAGTTTAAATTCATTGTGCCACAAATCCCTCACATAATTCGCTCCAAATTCTTTGGTAAAGTAAACCACTAAAGCTTTAATAAAACGCTCAGTAAACACCTGATCATTGCGCCAGTTTGTGTTCCATATGTCGTTAAAACTTAGGAAACGTTCATGTAGCATAGGACCCAAGAATTCTAAAACGTATGTCCAGCCATTAGGAACGTCCATTAATAAGTCAGGAAATTCCTCAGCGAATTGTTCATAAGCTCGCGTAAATGTCGTCTTACTAAATGCATTAGAAGTCATGAGATAGACGAAAATGTCAGCGCAGGCATTTCTTTCCAAACGTTTGACTGCGGCTAAATGCAAATAGTTCATTAGGATATAATATACCAAACATATTTGCTGTTTGTTGGTCGTCTTTTGCCAAGTATTAAAAACTTCTTCATGCCACCTGTTGCTGCGTGATGGCAGACAATCTAAATATTCTTCTATGAGGTGATTCAATAGTTTCTGATTGTCTTTGTTAGAAGATGATGTCAGTATTGCTTTTATATCTGAATTGGAATTTTGATTTTTAACACCCCAATATTGGGATTGATGTGGTTGTTGATGTTTTTGCTGGTATTGGTGCGGTGTATTTAATGGCAATGATGTGGGTGTGGTTCGACCACTGTTCTGTGAATCGCTAGATTGGTATGCTTGTCGACCAGCAGTTGACCACATGTAAATTGAACTATTGCCGAGCTTGGTTGTTGCTTGTGAAGAATCATCACCCCGGGAGAAATTTAGCTTTTTCAAATCAATACTATGTTGCTCACGTTGGCCTGAATATTGCGACTTTGTTGCTTTTTGTATGAAATAGTTACCACCATTGCCGCCAGCAGCAGAGTCTTTATTACGTGTTTGATTATGACGGTTGTTATTATTACCAAAGGACGATCGTTGCGAAGAACCTCTATCGTAAGCATTTAAGGAACCAGATGACAAATTACTATTTCTAATATCAGGATGTCGTCTACGTAGTGTAACATGGCTATTATGAGTATTAGGCGATTGACCCCAATTTCTGGATCTTAAATCAATTAAGTCTTGCATCATGAAACGCACACGACTGCAGATTTTATTTTTCTTGTTGCAAGGTTCTCTAGCCTCTTTAACAATGGTTTGGATTTTTGCAAAAATCTTATTCATTCTAAGATTGTTGTTAAACGAATCTGCATCATTGCTTTCCAGTAAGTTACCGACCGTTGTCAGTAACTTACACATGTACTCTAACTTTTCTTCATTGCCATGTTCGAGCAACGACTCAACGCATTGCAGAACACGATCAGCAGTTAATGAATGTAATTTATACATTTCGCCAATAAAACGCACCGTTCCCCATGCACGACGGCGGAATTGATACTCCTGATGTTCTAGTTCAGCTTGTAATTCGAGTTTTTCCTGCTGATCGGTTGTTTCATTTAACTTGTTTATAATCTGTTGCAATTTTCGCTCCTTTGCATCAGCATTATTCACATTTAATTCGAATTCTGTCTGCAAGCGTTTTATTAATAAAGCATTGAATATTTTTTTGCTATCCGCTTTAAATTCTTCGAATAAAACTTTGGAAAATTTCGCATAAGTGGGTGCGAAATTAGGCTCGCTAACTGTTTTTTCGAATATTAATAGCATCACCTGAAATAGAATAAAAAATAAGAAAATTCATAGTTAGTTACGGTTTAAACATAATTTATAAAGATATTTTTATTGGTTTTAAAATATTAACAGATTTTTACTTACTTTTTGCATTTTTTCTTGTGTGTTAATTGTAATGCTAGTCATTTCTTTCAACAAGACATCAAAGTTCTCCGAAGTCAGCTTGTTAAGAATTCCGCGGACTTTTTTCAAAACGTCATCAATATCACCATCATCATTTTTACTCTTTTCAGTCGTGGGTGAATTGTTATTTGAGTTGCGGGATAGAAATTTCGGCTGCCAAGCATTTTCGCATTTTGACAATTTGATTTCTTCATTTAATGACAAGTTAATGCGTATAACTTGCATTTTTTTCTGAATTTGCGATGAATTGCCTCCAACGCCACTTGATCCCGGAGCAACTGAGAGACCAGTAATATTTATATTTCCTGTAGAGGCCGCATTGCTATGATGATCATGATGTTTTCTCTGAATGCCACCACTTCCAACGCCACCCCCAACACGTCGTTTGCCACTTACAAATTCTATCGATTCATTGAAATTCATATGATGGTACGATTGCTGAACGTGATGTTGAAGGTTGATTGCAGCTAAATTTTGTCCAACTTGGTGTGTTAAATGATGGTGATGATGTTGCTGACGAGCTACGAAAAGTTGAGAGATGCAGTCACCTTTTTGGCAGGGTACAACAGGAGTTTTTCGAGATTCTGGTGATTTGGCAAAAGCTTTTAGTTCTTCCAAAGAGTAACGTATAAGAACATTTGTAGTCTCTTCTTCGGATTCATCTACAAAATAAATAAAAAATAATAACGTAAGTTTATTTTTCAATAATACGAATATTATATAATATGTTTTACTTTTCAAGTCCATAGATTTAATTTCAGTGTCAGTGGTTTTTAAAGTAGATGTTGTGCAAATATCTTCGTTCTGTACGGATGCTAAAATAATAAAATAAAATTTAATTTAACATTTTGCTTTATACTATTTACTGTTGTAATTTTTATCTTACCACTATTGGATTTATTATTTTGCTGTTTCATCCTCCTTTGTATTTTTTCCTTGCGTTTAGCTGCTTTTTTATTTTTACGACCTCCTATCGCAAAAAATACTTGTTATTAAAAATATCATTTATTAAAAATATGTATGAATATGTATGTTTGAAACCACTGTTATTGTATACATACTTTTTGGTTCAGTTGCAACAAAAGAGGATACGGACTGCGGCAAATCTTGTTGAATATCTTTGGATTTTACTTCATCTTTATTATCAACGGAAGTTTGGGCAGATATTGTGCAAGGTTCATCTTTTGATTTAACTGCAAGATAAAAATATAAATTTTAAATCATATAAAATAATGTTATCATTAATTCAAAAGGTACAGTTATATGAAATTTCAACTTACCCTCCGTTTCTGTGGAATGGTCAGAATCAGACTCTACTGGCTGCATTGTAAGAAGATCGCCAGCAGGAACATTTTCAGGCTCTTGTTGATTTTTTGAATCGTTATCTGGTAATTTTTGAACAATACACGTTAAATTTCCATCAATTGTATCGAGAACATCGTCTTCATTGTCCAACTCATGTTCATTAGTGTCGGCATCTGTATCATTGGGGTCATCGTAAATTAATTTTTTTGGCGATTCGCTATCAGAGTTTGACGATTGAGTGCCGGTATTAACAACAGCTACTGAAACTGTTTGAGTTGCTATTGCTAAACCACTGTTCTGCTTAACGATATCATAGTTTCCATCATCTGTCTGTACAGAGATCGATTGTGACTGTGTTGGTGTCACAACATCTGAAGCATTACTCGCTATCGAGGCAGTTAAAGAATTGTCATTGTCTGTCTGTATTGATACAGATTCTACATTTATTTCATTTTTAGCGGGAATTTGTGGCTGTGTCTGTGTTTGGACATCAGCAGCCAAGTGTTCAAATGTTACGATCTCTAGGGTGTCAGGATTAATAATGGGAATTGCGTGTTTTCGTTGTTTTATGTTTGTAGAGTGCTCTGTATTTGATGCTGCACCACCAACTGCTAGACCTACAGCTGGTATATTTATGGGTGTGGATGAGGTTGGAGCTGTTGGCATTCCTCCACCCATATGGGCGTATGCTTGCAGAGTAGGAGGCTGTCCTATTCCTGCTGCTGCAGTTAACATAGGTGTTGGTTGAGGCGTTACAGCCGTTGGTGGAGCACCTAACAGTAGTGGTGGTGTGCAGTATGGTGGTGGCACGTATGCTGTTGGGCCACTAGGAGCTACACTTCTGGGTGTAGTATTTTGAAGTTGTGTACTCATTGAACCACCACTGGCCGCATGTTGAGGAGCAGCATTTGAAAGAAGTGGCGCCCGCGTTTGCTGTGGTAATAAAGCATGTGATAAAGCAAAGTAGTTGGGTGAGACTACAAATGGCTGTCGCTGATGGGATACAGCTGCTATCATATTTCTTATTTGAGAATGCTGCTGCTGTGATGGATGGTGAAGGTGATGCGTCGGCAATTGAGCACTTTTTGTAAAATAGTGCAAAGTCTGTTCGGCATTGTGGAGACCCACCTGCTGCTGTGTGGGATGAGGCTGTGACTGTGGTTGATGAGTTGTCTGATAGAGGACATGGCTCGCTTGACCCCCACCAACACTAACACCATTACCACCTGTATTGCCATGAGCTGTTGGCGCAACATTACAGAACGGATATGTAACAAATGTAACCGGTCCCTGATGATGCTCATAATGTGGCTGCTGTTGTTGTTGTTGTGGCTGTGAATGTGTGTGCGTATGTGGGTATGGGTTATTATGACGAACTGATGCGTTTGTTTGATTTTGTAACGGCTGCTGCTGCTGCTGCGTCTTCCCACCCCCACCCGTATTAACGAACATAGGAGGATCTTTCGAAGACCTTTAAGACAAAAAAAAAAAAAATAAGTTAAATTTCAATTTTTTTTCCATATTCATGAAACCTTAAAATCTTACCTCTTCCTTTGATGGTTTTTCTGCTTGGGAAACGTTATTGTTGCCGTTTTGCCAAGAAATAAATGCAATAGATGTCAAAAAAGTAAGTTGGGACAACTATTTGTCTAAACGTAGATAACAATGAACCAGTTGTAATATCTTGGATTATTTATATCGTATGTCAATGGCTCTCAAAATAGGCGCAGTTTTTATTTTTTTTTATTTTGGGTCTGAAAATAAAAGGACTTTTATTAGTACATAAATATAAAATAATAAGTAAATTAAAATTTAAAGAAAAAAGCAAGGATAAACGTAATTTGGAAAAGCATTAAAAAATAAAAATTGTATTAATATGAGTAAAAAAATATAAGTGCAAACAATATCTGTTTTGGAAAAATAAAACTCCACTTCGAAATAGAATAGGAGTACATCTCTCATTGCACTATTTAATTTTTATATTTGATCGCAAAATTGCAAAATTATTATTGCCAAAAATTTTTTTCAATACAAATTTTGACCATATTGATTACAAAAGTAAGCATAGGTATTAATTTAAAAACTTTAACGTTCGCATAATTTAGCTGGAAATTGAAAATTCTTAATCTGGATAATGTTTTCACTCACTTAATAATTAAATTTTCAGAAATTCAAATAGCTTTTTTGCTGATTTTTTTATTTTTATTCTGTTCGCCAATTTACTTTTTTCTAACAATTAAGTCAATGTATTATAGATTTGATATATGTATATATTATCACTCTTTTTGACAATTAAAAATAAATTTTATTTTATTTAAATAGAATATGGATTTAATTTTATTAAGGATATGATCACTTTTTTATTTGTACAAACTCCTATAATTTCAATTATTTGTCTCGCTAAAATTTTTTAATTACACATTTAATTTTCTTTTTAAGTTCTTTATGGATTTTTTATGCATGTGAAATATTCTATAACTTTCTTTTTTCTTTTTTCATTTTTTGTAATAAATTCTGTATTTTTTATTATTTTTCAGTAGTATTATGAAGATCTTTCTTTTAAATTTATTTTAATTTTTATTCGCGTCATAAAAATCAAACTATCTTTTCACTAAAAGGGGAAATACATGTCTTAAGAAAGCAGCAATGCTAAAGAAAAGTTGGAACATTGAAATATATCAGTATTTCACTTGAAATTTGTTTTTGTATATTGATTTTACATTAAAATTTGTATATTTTCACTTAAAATGTTATTTTATTTCTTCCAAAGCGAACTTTTTATCACATATTCCGAAAATGCATTTGTTTAAATAAAGATATCAAAACAAAATTCCGATTAGAAAAAGAGCGAATGAAAGATGTATGTTTGTTAATTTAGTGGTGCAAACTTTATAAATTCAAAAACGCACAATTTTATTTGTAAATGCTTGATAATAATACCAAATGTATTAAAGAAATTTCTGTGAAATTTTCTTAAAATAATTATAAAATTAAGCGTTTTAAAATAGTGTTTAAACTTTAGCGTTCGCATTATTTTGTTTAAAAAACATTATTAATATTTAATTTTAATATGCAAAATATTTTCACTCACTTATATATGTATTTTTATTTGTTTTGCGGAAATTAAAATTTTTGTTTTTAATATTCTATTTTTGTATTATTTTTTGTTTATTTTGCTCGGAAATTTTCTTTTAACTGACAAATAAAACAATGAACTATTGATTTGATTTTTCGATTTTCTTTATGTTTGACAAATAAGGGAATGAAAATTTGATTACATTTTTAAAGTTTTTTTTTTATTTTTTGAGATTTTTCCAATTGTCTTATTGCTGTTTGTTTGTAATTTATATTAATTTCTTTTCACTTTTAAACATCTTTTATGATTTGAAAATTTCCTTTTTCTATTTCTTCACTCGCGTTAGAAAATTCAAAGCCTACTAAAAATGTTAGACATTTTTAAAGGCCAAAGACATGTATCTATTAAATTCCTTGATTTTATCAATATCAGGATATGATTACTTTTTTATTTGTACACACTCCTATAATATTCAATTAATTTTTATGTTCTTTATGAATGAATTTTCCATGCATGCGTAATTTTCTGTAACTTCCTTTTTTCCTTCACATATTTTTTTTAATAAATTCTGTATTTATTGATGATTTTTCAATAGCACTATGAAGATCATTCTTTTAAAGTTATTTTTATTTTTATTAGCATGAGAAAATGCAAAGTTTCTTTTCACTAAAATGGAAAAATAGACGTCTTAGGAAAACAGCAATGTTAAAAAAAATTTGGAATATTGAAATATATCGGTATACCAAATTTGCTTTATATTTTAATTTCACACGAAAATTTTTAATTTTTCACTTAAAATTTTATTTTACTTCTGCGACAGCGACTTTTTTATCATAAATGCAAAATAAATGCATTACAAAATTACGATTAGAAAAAGATCTAAGTTTACTTTTTATTTTATACTTTCTTTGTTAAATTAGTGGTGCAAACTTTATAAATGCAAAAGCATCTAATTTTTATTGCAAATATTTGATTACAATTCAAAATTTCTTGAAATATCTGTAAAATTTTCTTAGAAATATAAAATTAAACTTTAAAAACGTTTAAAATAGCGTTAAAACTTTAGCGTTTGCATAATTTTGTTTAAAAAACTTAATTATTAATATTTATTTTTAATATGCAAAATATTTTCACTCACTATATGTATTTTTATTTGTTTTCCGGAAATTAAAATTTTTGTTTTTAATATTCTATTTTTTGTATTATTTTTTGTTTATTTTGCTCGGAAATTTTCTTTTAACTGACAATTAAAACAATGAACTATTGATTTGATTTAAAATTTTCTTTATGTTTGACAAATAAGGGAATGAAAATTTGATTAAATTTTTTAATAATTTTGCCCCCACTAAACCGACAAAATTTTTGCAATTTCTTTCATTTACTTCATTTTTAACATATAAATATATATTTTTCGTTAAGGATTTATAAGTTTTTGTAATAATTTTATAAATTATTTGAACGTTTTTTGATTTCTTGAGGTTTTTCCAATTGTCTTATAGCTGTTTGTTTGTAATTAATATTAATTTATTTTCACTTTTAAACATTTTTATGATTTGAAAATTTACTTTTTCTATTTTTTCACTCGCGTTAGATAATTCAAAGCCTACAGAAAATGTTAGACATTTTTAAAGACCAAATACATGTGTCTATTAAATTCCTTGATTTTATCAATATCAGGATATGATCACTTTTTTATTGTACACACTCCTATAATATACAATTAATTGTCTCGCTTAAGTTTTTAATTACACATTTAATTTTATTTTTATGTTCTTTTTGTATGAATTTTCCATGCATGCGTAATTTTCTGTAACTTCCTTTCTTCCTTCACATATTTTTTTTAAATAAATTCTGTATTTATTGATGATTTTTCAATAGCACTATGAAGATCATTCTTTTAAAGTTATTTTTATTCGCATGAGAAAATGCAAAATTTCTTTTCACTAAAAGGAAAAAATACACGTCTTAGGAAAACAGCAATGTTAAACAAAAGTTAGAATATTGAAATATAATATATTTCAATTTTACACGAAAATGTTTAATTCTTCACTTAAAATTTTATTTTATTTCTGCGACAGACTTTTTTATCAAAAATGCAAAATAAATGTATTTGATTAAATAAAGAAATCAAAACAAAATTACGATTAGAAAAAGATGCAAGTTTACTTTTTATTTTATATTTTCTTTGTTAAATTAGTGGTGCAAACTTTATAAATGCAAAAGCATCTAATTTTTATTGCAAATATTTGATTACAATACAAAATTTCTTGAAATATCTGTAAAATTTTCTTAGAAATATAAAATTAAACTTTAAAAACGTTTAAAATAGCGTTAAAACTTTAGCGTTTGCATAATTTTGTTTAAAAAACTTAATTATTAATATTTATTTTTAATATGCAAAATATTTTCACTCACTTAAATATATATTTTTATTTGTTTTCCGGAAATTTAAATTTTTGTTTTTAATATTCTATTTTTGTATTATTTTTTGTTTATTTTGCTCGGAAATTTTCTTTTAACTGACAATTAAAACAATGAACTATTGATTTGATTTTTCGATTTTCTTTATGTTTGACAAATAAGGGAATGAAAATTTGATTAAATTTTTTAATAATTTTGCCCCCAGTTATTACTAAACACTAAACCGACAAAACTTTTGCAATTTCTTTCATTTACTTCATTTTTAACATATAAATATATATTTTTTGTTAAGGATTTATAATTTTTTGTAATAATTTTATAAATTATTTTTTATAGCTGTTTGTTTGTAATTAATATTAATTTCTTTTCACTTTTAAACATTTTTTATGATTTGAAAATTTACTTTTTCTTTTTTTTCACTCGCGTTAGAAAATTCAAAGCCTACAAGAAATGTTAGACATTTTTAAAGGCCAAAGACATGTGTCTATCAGGATATGATCACTTTTTTATTTGTATAATATTCAATTAATTGTCTCGCTTAAGTTTTTAATTACACATTTAATTTTGTTTTCATGTTCTTTATGAAAGAATTTTGCATGCATGCGTAATTTTCTGTAACTTCCTTTTTTCCTTCACATATTTTTTTTAGTAAATTCTCTATTTATTGATCAATTTTCAATAGCACTATGAAGATCATTCTTTTAAAGTTATTTTTATTCGCAAGAGAAAATGCAAAATTTTTTTCACTAAAAGGGAAAAATACACGTCTTAGGAAAACAGCAATGTTAAATAAAAGTTGGAAATTAAAATATATTAGTAAATCACTCTTAAATTTGCTTTACATTTCGATTTTATACGAAAATTGTTAATTTTTCACTTAAAATTTTATTTTACTTCTGCGACAGCGATTTTTTTATCATAAATGCAAAATAAATGCATTTGATTAAATAAAGATATCAAAACAAAATTACGATTAGAAAAAGATGCAAGTTTTCTTTTTATTTTATACTTTCTTTGTTAAATTAGTGGTGCAAACTTTATAAATGCAAAAGCACCTAATTTTTATTGCAAATATTTGATTACAATACAAAATGTCTGTGAAATATCTGTAAAATTTTCTTAGAATTAATTATAAAATTAAACTTTAAAAACTTTTAAAATAGCGTTAAAACTTTAGCGGGTGCATAATTTTGTTTCAAAAACTTAATAATTAATATTTATTTTTAATATGCAAAATATTTTCACTCACTTAAATATGTATTTTTATTTGTTTTCCGGAAATTTAAATTTTTGTTTTTAATATTCTATTTTTGTGTTATTTTTGTTTGTTTATTTTGTTTACAATTTTTCTTTTATCTGACAATTAAAACAATGAACTATTGATTTGATTTTTCGATTTTATTTATGTTTGACAAATAAGGGAATGAAGAATTGATTGGATTTTTTAATAATTCTGCTTTCAGTTATTATAATACGTTTTCAGACGTTAAACAACGTTAAAAAATCGTAAAGCACTAAACCGGCAACACTTTTACAATTTTTTCTTTTACTTCATTTTCAAGCCTACCATTTATAAGTACATATATGGATTTTTTGTTAAGGATATATTCACTTTTACTTTTATAGGAAAATTTAGCTTTAACTAGTTTTAAGACCTTTTCAAATTTCAATAAAGCCGTATTTCACTAACACCTTTATTTTTCAACTCGCAGTTCAATTTTTCTTTAAAGTCCTTTATGAATGCTTTTTTCTGCATGCGTAATATTCTATTGCTTCCTTGTTTTTTCACAAAGTTTTTGTAATAATTTTATAAATTATTTGCAAGTTTTTTGATTTCTTGGCGTTTTTTTAACTGTCTTATAGCTGTTTGTTTGTAATTTATATTAATTTCTTTTCACTTTTAAACATTTTTAATGGTTTGAAAATTTATTTTAATTTTTCCATTTTCACTCGCGTTAGAAAATGCAAAGCCTACAAAAAATTGTAGACATTTATAAAGGCCAAAGACCTGTGTGCATAAGTTTCTTGACGGCGTTGTCAGATTCTATGAATGTCAACGACTTTTTATTGTGTTGTAGCCGGCTAAAATAAGCTTTTGCAAATTGAAAACTATTATTTAAAATTTTAAAGTTTTAAGAATTTGTTAATCCTCTGAGCGAATTATATTTAATAAAGAAACGTTTATTTTTAAGAGGAGTTAAACTAAAAGAAGTATATTCGATGTGGAATATATGTAGAATATTACGACGGTTAGCTCTAGTGGAACCGACGCCGTTGTCTTTTTAAACGACCAACAATAAAATAAACATGCAACAGAAAGCTCTTTTGACATATGAAACAAACGCTAATGTCACAAACAAAGCTTTCGTTATCGTTTTTGTGGCAACTTTACAGTTGGTGCTGCCACTCATTTTCTTTTTATTATCGTTGGCTGTTAAATACATATAGGGTTATATAGTTGAAACAAAAAGTCGACTTTTTAACTTTTACAATTTAAAAGTTTATTTCACGACGCAGTGAGTTAATTAATAGTGGTTTAATTCTAGTTCTGCTTTTGTTCAATTCTTTTAGCTCGTGTTAAATTGTAGTTGTCTTATTTAAATTTTAGTGCTGGTTCAAATCCAATTTAGTTCTTTAATTCTAGTTTAGTTCTCTTTCAAGTTCTAATATAGCTCTAGTTCAGTTTTAGTTCGGTTCTAGTACTGTTCCGGTTCAGTTATAGTTCAGTTTTAGTTCAATTCAAGTTCAATTTTAGTTCAGTCCTAGTTCAGTTCTAGTTCTTGTTCAGTTCTAGTTCAATTCTAGTTCAGTTCTAGTTCAGTTCTAGTTCAGTTCTAGTTCAATTCTAGCTCAGTTCTAGTTCAGTTCTGTTTATGTTTACTTTAGTTTGAGTTTATTTCTAGTTTAGTTTCAGTTTACTTCTAGTTCAGTTGTAGTGTATTAAATTAAAATGACATTTAAAATGAAAAACTTGAAATAAGGTGTAAAAAATATTTATTAAATAAATCTAAATATTTTTCAATACTTCCTTAGTTGTTACAAAATAATTACAAAAATTCAAGTACACACATCAATCACCGACATGAGAAATATTTTTACAAAAAAATTTCTTCAAAATAAATTTCTGCATGTTTCAAATTAAAAACATAATTTTAAAATGATTTTCAATATTGGCAGAAAAATGCTGTATAAAAATCTATTCATTATAAAGATGTAAAAATATTTCCCATGAAAATAACAACAAGTTAATGCGTTAAGATATGTATTTGTTTATAAAAAATATGTAAAATTAATAATTGGTAAAGACCATTGTTTGAGCTTTTTTTACAAAAATATTTATAATAATAAAAAATAAGTAGTGCAGAAATACTTAAATTAATACAAAAATAATTTGATCCTTTTTAATAAGGTTAAGGCAGTTTAGTTTTTTAATTTAGAATTTCATTCCTTTTTTTTAATAACTTAAGATGTTATTACTGTTATTATTTTGTTATTGTTGCTATTGCTGTGAGTTTTTTCTAAAAATTCATGTCCACACAAATTTTTGAATTGCGATTCTGTTTTTGACTAATTTCCAAGACTTGGAACATTTCCTGCAAAGCATCGTTGGTTTGAGTCTTACGACGATTACGTCTTAACGTCACACGACCAGATTTCAATTCACGTACTAAAGCGTCAACACCTGTAGAGGAAAATTAAGAAAATGTTATTAAATAAATCGCAAAAATATAAATTAATTTAAAATGCTTGCGTTAACACAAAACAACAATATTTTTCGATCCTTTAACACAGAAACATTTAAATTCATGCTATTTTGGGACAGTACACAATTTGATAACGAAAGATTTTATTGTTAGTAGTAGAAAATATTTTTGCAATTCACAATCATTGTCGTATCTTTGTATGTCATACAAATTTTTCAAACAAAACAATAACAACAAATTTCGACATAATATGATATTGTGAATTGGACAATTAATTTTAAATTTATAACAGAATTTATTTTCAATAACATTTAACAAGGACATTTCAGTTTACTATATAAAATTGTAACGGTGGTTGATCAATTTGTTTGGATCAATGATGCATTTTAATTGAGGTGTTATTTTTTTAATTTGTTTTACTGCTAGATACACCAAATATTAGTATTAACAAAAAAATTACCAGATCTGCAAAATATAATAGTTTTATTTAGTTATTTTAACCACTTTTGCTTTATTTCATTGCCTTTGCTAAAGAACTATTAAATTAGATTTAGATTAGTTAAATGGTTAGTTTAAAGGATTTTTAAAAATACGCAAAATATTATCGAAATCTGATCCAAACTATATGTTTGTGTTCATTTTCAATGGTGTCAACTTTCATTGTCATGACAAAGTTCGTGTATAAAGGATTATGAAAGAAACGTCCCCAAGTAAAAGATGACAATTGTTTGTATGTCAAGAGTTTTATGTCATCATACGTGGATGTCAACAGCTTTAAGAAAAATAAATTATATGAAAAGATAAATCAATTCGTTTGCTACTGCGAATAAAATCAATAGTAGGGCTTCCTGTAAATAAAAGTAAATATGACGATTTACATACATATGCAATTAGTTAGTTAATATGATACATCTGATCCGAAGAAATACACTTAAGTTACTATCGGGCCTCTTGTGTAGTCCTTTACCAGAGTCTCTGAACCAAAGGCTGTCTAAGCAAGTATTAACATCGGCGATTTTATTATAGTAGAATAAGGACTACAGGCTATACTGTAGCAGTCAAGGCTATAGGTTATACTGTAGCCTTGACTGCAAACTAAACTAGTCTATAGAATAAATCTTAGATCAAACTATAGACACCAATATAGACTAAACTGTAGACTGAACTAACGACTACACTATAGACTAGACTATAGACTAAACTATAGACTAGACTATAGATTAGGCTATAGACTAGACTAAAGACTACAGACTAGACTATAGACTACACTATAGACTAGACTATAGGCTAGACTATAGACTAGACTATAGACTAGACTATAGACTAGACTATAGACTAGACTATAGACTAGACTACAGACTAGACTATAGACTAGACTATAGACTAGACTATAGACTAGACTATAGACTAGACTATAGACTAGACTATAGACTAGACTATAGACTAGACTATAGACTAGACTATAGACTAGACTATAGACTAGACTATAGACTAGACTATAGACTAGACTATAGACTAGACTATAGACTAGACTATAGACTAGACTATAGACTAGACTATAGACTAGACTATAGACTAGACTATAGACTAGACTATAGACTAGACTATAGACTAGACTGTAGACTAGACTATAGAGTCTAGAATATACTCCATTCTATAGTCTAGCCAATATTCTATTCGATAGTCTAATCTATAATCTAGTCTATAGACTGGTCTATAGTCTAGTCTATGGCATAGTCTATAGACTATTCTATAGTGTAGACCATAGACTAGACTATAGACTAGACAATAGTCTAGACTAAGACGAAACGATAGACTATACTAAACTATATACTAGACTATAGGCTAAACTATAAACTCGACTATAGAATAGACTATAGACTATGCCATAGACTAGACTATAAACCAGTCTATAGACTAGATTATAGACTAGACTATCTATACTTTGGTTTATAGAATGCACTATTAACTAAACTTGACTTTAGTACAGACTATAGACCAGAATACATATGTATATAGAAGACTACAGACTATTCTATATACTATAAACTGTACTATAGACTAGATTGCAGACAAGTCTACAGACAATTTAGCTATTTTAGTTCTGTTAATTAAACATCGAACTCGATTTTTTATCTGTCAAAAAATACATACACATCTTATGAAAGAATTAAAAATTTTAAAAATTTGAAAAATATACAATTTTCGATGTCAAATATTTGATATACATACATACATTTTTAATAACATTCAAAAAAGTTTTTTCCTTTATATATAATGGAGGAGGCCACCCTATTTGTCTGCGTGTATAGGAAGGCAAAAAATAAATTTAAACTAAATTGAAATAAATCAATGAGATTTGAAAGAAAGAAAAAAAAAATAGACGAAGGACAAGGACAAATCAAATAACAATATACAATGAAGGTAGCAAATACATATTATAATAAAATATAATAAAAAAACTTTTATACATATCTAACAGTTAAGATTTCCCTAATTAATTTTTTGAATATCCCACTGTACAATCTCATCAGATCTTCAGTTTGCGATTGAATAACGAGTTAAGTAAGTATTAAGTTTATAACTTTAAATTATCATTTTAAATTTAAAAAATTATTAATTTCCAATTTTGTGAAGTGTAGTAATATAATTTTTCCACTAGAACGTATGAGTGCTGTAACAAGCAAAAATAATTACGTATACGCGACGTTAAACCGAGACGTTTTATTTTTGATTCTCTTTTTAAAGCAATTTTTCGAACAATAACATTTACACCCTGTATTACTCGTGTTAAAACCCAAGAGCAACAAAAACACATCAACACTAAGTATAAATAAGTCATGATTAATCGCACAAAGAAATCAACATCATCAAATTGAAATCTAAAACTATGTTAATGTCTACTAGACGAGTAGAATTCGTATATGAATGTTTCGTTTAAAATGTAAAGCCAATGTCTTATGGACATTCTAAGAAACTGGGAGGAAAAACAAGCAGGGCAAGGAAATTACCCAGAATAAAACTACAAAAGAAAATCAAGAAATTTTATACTGGAAAATATAAAAAAAGTAAAAACCCCCCAGTTGGAACTTAATAAGAAAAATATTTAAATATTATTATTATTATTTTACTCTACTAAACAAAAAATTATAGCAAATTTTGCAAAATAATAATAATATAGTTTTTGAAAATAATTTTGCTAAAATAACGAGATTTTTCGATTAGAACGGTAAAATCAGTTTTTGAGTATTTAAACATTTGATTTTTTAGTTGTTCTCTTACT